AAAACCAGGGTCACAGTCGAAAGATACGTGAATTTTTCTTTTATTCATTTGTGGGACAGTGGGGTCACTGGCCGGGCCAGCATTTGTTGCTTATCCCTAGTTGCCCCTTGAGAAGGTGGTGATAAGCTGCCTTCTTGAACTGCTACTGTCCACCTCCTGTATGTTGACCCATAATGCCCTAGGGAAGGGAATTCAAGGATTTTGACCCAGCAACAGTGAAGGAACAGCAATATATTTCTAAGTCAGGATGGTCAGTGACTTGGAGGGGAACTTGCAGGGGGTGGTGTTCCCATGTACCTGCTGCCCTTGTCCTTCTAGATGGAAGTGGTCGTGGGCTTGGAAGGTGCTGTCTGAGGATCGTTGGTGAATTTCTGCAGTGCATCTTGTAGATCACACACACTGCTGCTACTGAGCATCGGTGGTGGAGGGAGTGGATGCTTGTGGATGTGGTGCCAATCAAGCGGCTGCTTTGTCCTGGATGGTGTTAAGCTTCTTGAGTGTTGTTGGGGCTGCACCCATCTGGGAAAGTGGGGAGTATTCCATCACACTCCTGACTTGTGCTTGTAGATGGTGGACAGGCTTTGGGGAGTCAGGTAGTGAGTTACTTGCCACAGTATTCCTAACCTCTGATCTGCTCTTGTAGCCACTGTGTTTATGTGGCAAACCCTTTGAATTTTTTGCAAATGGTAACCCTGAGGATGTTGATAGTGGGGGATTCAATGCTGGCAAAACCATTGAATGTAAATGGGCAGTGGTTAGATTTGTCTCCAATTGGCATGAATATTACTTGCCACTTGTCAACCCAAGCCTGGATATTGTCCAGATCTTGTTGCATTTGAACAGGGACTGCTTCAGTATCTGAGGAGTCACGAATGGTGTTGGACTTTGTGCAATTATTGATGAACATCCTCACTCCTGACCTTATGATGGAGTTAAAGTCATTAATGTAGCAGCTGAAGATGGTTGGGTCTAGGACACTACCCTGACAAACTCCTGCTGAGATGTCTCGGAGCCTAGATGACTGACCTCCGATAACCATGGTCCTACGTGCCAGGTATGACTCCAACCAATGGACAGTTTTGCTCAGGCTCCTTGATACCACACTCGGTTGAACGCAGCCTTGATGTCAAGGGCTGTCACTCTCACCTCACCTCTGGAATTCAGCTCTTTGTCCATGTTTGAACCAAGGCTGGAATGAGGTCAGGAGCTGAGTGGCCCTGGTAGAACCTAAACTTTGTCACTGAGCAGGTTATTGCTGAGCAGGTTCTGCTTGATAGCTTGTTACTGACACCTTCCATCACTTTACTGATGATCGAGAGTAGACTGATGGGACGGAGATTGGCCGGGTTGGATTTGTTCTACTTTTTATATACAAGACATGCCTGGGCATTTTTCCACATCATCAGGTAGATGCCTGGAACTGGAACAGCTTGGCTAGGGGAGCGGCAAGTTCTGGAGCACAAGTTTAAGGTACTATTGCTGAAATGTTGTCAGGGTCCATTACCTTTGCAGTATTCAGTGTCTTCAACTGTTTAATATCACACAGAGTGAATCGAATTGGCTGAAGACTGGTATCTGTAATGCTGGGGACCACTGGAGGAAGCAGAGATGGATCATCCACTCGGCACTTCTGGCTGAAGATTGCTGCGAATGCTTCAGCCTCATATTTTGCACTGATGTGCTGGGCCCTTCCATCATTGAGGATGGGGATATTTGTAGAGCCGCCTCCTCCAGTGAGTTGTTTAATTGTCTATCACCATTCATGACTGGATGTGTTAGGGCTGCAGAGCTGAGATCTGATCCATTGGTTGTGGGTTGTGTAAGCTCTATCACTTGCTGCTTATGCTGTTTGGCGTGCAGGTAGTCTTGTTTAGTATCTTCAAGTTAACACCTTATTTTCAGGTATGCCTGGTGCTGCTCCTGGCATGCCCTCCTGCACTCTCCATTGAACCAGGGTTGATCTCCTGGCTCGTTGGTAATGGTTGAGTGGGGGATATGCCGGGCCATGAGGTTACAGATTGTGCTGGAGTACAATTCTGCTGCTGTTGATGGCCCACAGTGCCTCATGGATGCCCAGTCTTGAGTTGCTATATCTGTTCTAAGTCTGTCCCATTTGTCACAGTGATAAGAAATATCTTCATCCAGAGAGTGGTGACCCTGTGGAATTCACTGTATAAAGGGCAGTCAAGGCCAAAATCATTGTACGATTTCAAAGAGGAATTGGATTTAGCACTTGGGTGTTAATGAGATCAAGAGATATGGGGGAAAAGCAGGAACAAACCATTGAGTTGGATGATTGCAAATGGTTATGATAAATGGTGGATCGGGCTTGAAGGGCCGAATGGCCTACACCTGCTCCTACCTTCCATGTCACTTGGGTAGTTTCATTATGTTACATGCACTTTCTAAATATAAAGGAGCCATTGTTGAGTGTGAACAACTATCTTGGAGTGATATAGTGAAATTAATTCTTACGTCAAGAGCCCAGTTTCATGACCTTTTGTGCCCACTGAGCTGCTCAGGTTAATGACCAATCGTAAGACTTCTTTCCTTAGCAGCACTCGGCAGGCAGGCGTGTCTTCGATGACAGGTTTCCCTCCTGTAGAGGGCAACAAGATTCAAAGGTGATGAAGGTGAATAACTTAACCAATAACATGGTCAGACAAGAGTAATTTAATCTTTCACCTGCTTATATAAGATACACTACAGAAATTCACCAATTCTCCTTAGACAGCACCTTCCAAATCCACGACCACTTTCATCTTGAAGGACAAGGGTACATTGGAACACCACCCCCTGCAAGTTCCTCTCCAAGCCACTCACCATCCTGACTTTGAAATATACTGCCATTCCTTCAGTGTCACTGGGTCAAAATCCTGGCATTCCCTCCCTAAGAGCTAAACTTCTGGAAAAGGAAATGAACAATCAGTGGTAGTGGTTCATGTGGGAACCAACAAGAAAGGGACGGACAGCTTGGAGGGCTTGCAACATCAGTTTCGGGAGTTAAGGAGTAGGTGGGAACACAGGAGTTGCAGGGAAGTAATCGCAAAAATACTATCTGTGCCATGAGCCTCACTATTCAGGCAAAGGCAGATCGGGGAGTAAATCAGTGGCTAGAAGGATGATGTAGGAGGGACGGTTTTTGAGACATTGAGATCATTTTGGGAAAAGAGAAAGCTATTCAGAACAGATGGGCTGCACCTGAGCTGAAAAGGAACTAATCTCCTCACTGAGAGAGTAAGTAGTGTAGTTATAAAGTCATACAGCACAGAAACAGATTCTTCAGTCCAACTCATCCATGCTGACCAAGTTTCCCAGACTAAACCAGTCCCATCCGCCTGCATTTGGCCCTTATCCCTCAACCTTTTCTGTTCATGTACTTGTCCAAATGTTTTAATATTGTAACTATACCTGCATCTACAACTTCCTCTGTCAGTTCAAACCACGTACAAACCACCCTCCGTGAGCAAAAGTTGGGCCTAGTTTTGGAAGTAACAGAGAGGGCAAATGAGAGGAGGTCGGGAACAGAGTAAAGGAAGTGAGGGAAAGCTTCAGTGTTGACAATGAAGAGAGAAATGATCATCTTCTAATAGCCAAGAGAGAAATAGCTGCAGGTTTAAATTTTATGTATGAAAATGCACAAGAGTACAGGGGAACTGGAAGCAGAAATTGCTCTAGGGGGATCTGACATAGCAGTATTGACAGAAACGCAACTCAAGCCAAACAGGACCAGTTACCTTATAAGGCTTTTTGTAGAAATAGCATAAGTAAAAGGGATGGAGGTTTAGCAATCTTGGTCAAAGATAACATCATTGCCCTGGAACAAGATATAGCTCTGAATCAGAATCTATACGGTTGGGCGTGTGAAACAGGAAAGGAGCGATGACCTTGTTAGGTATTTATTAAAGACCACCAAATAGTGGGGAGGAGTAAGAAACAGCATGTGTAGGCAGATTATGGAAATCTGCAGGACAAGTAGTTTTTTGATAGTTGGTGATTTCAGTTACCCGAGGGTAGACAGGGAAAAAGTATGGAGCATGGAAGGGGAGAAATTCCTGCAATGTGTGCAGGAATACTTTTCTAGAACAGTACAATTCCAGTCCTACCTGGGAGGGGGAATGTGCTAGATCTGGTGATAGGAAATGAGGTAGGCCAAATGGTGAACATCAGATTGGGGTGCATTCAGGAAACAATGACCATAAAGATTCAATATTAAGTTAGAAAAGGATTAAAAAAAAAATCAATGATTGGGATCCCAGACTGGAAACACATTTTGGTGGATAAAACATTGGCTGAAAAATGGAAGAATTTCAAACAGGAGATGAACTGAATGCAAGTTAGGTACATACAGGGTATCCAAAACTAGAAATCTCTGGAAAACTATGGATATTGATGAGAAAATTAGAAAGAAAACAGAGGCAAATGATGCATAACGGAATAACAACAGCTATAGAAATCAGGAAGAGTATCTCAAATGCAGGAGAGGGGGTAAGGCTAAGGGGAAGCATGAGGAAAGGATGGCAAGCTGTCCTAAAACAAATCGTAAAATGTTCTTCAAACATACTAATAGTAAAAGATTAGTGGAAGAAAGATTGGGGCCTATAAGGAACAAGCAGGTCAAGCTGCTCACTGAAGCAGAGGGTACAAGCAGAGGTACAAAATGAACATTTCGGTTCTGTCTTTACCAAACTAGAAGATGGTGACAATGATCTAGTTGAAAACATGGGTGTTGTGCAACTGAGCAGTATAGTGATAAAGAAGAGGGGCTAAAAAGGCTGGCAGCACTCCAGGTAGAGAAGTTGCCAGGCCCAGGTGGGATGCATCCTAGATTGTTGAGAGAGGTAAGGGAAGTAAATTGAGGAGCCATTGACAGAAATTCTTCGGGTCTCTCTCATCACAGGATTGGTCCAAGGGGACTGGAGGATTGCAAATGTGATACAGTTCTTTAAGAAAGAAGCAAAGAATAACCCAGGAAACTACAGACCTCTTGGCTTGACATCAGAGAGAAAACTAATGGAGGCCATAATGTGGGATAAGGTAAATATACACTTAGGCAAAAATAAGTTAATACTAGTCAACATGGCTTTCTCAAGAGCAGGTCATACCTGACAAATTTGATTGAATTCTTCGGTGATGTGACATAGTCAGTGGATGAGGGTAATGCTGCAGATGTTGCATATTTAGACTTTCAGAAAGCATCTGATATAGTGCCACATGGTAGGTTTATTAGCAAATTAGAAATGTTTGTGATTGATCTGTCCTTGGCAGCATTGATTAGAAGCTGGCTAAAAGATAGGGAACTGAGGGTAGGTATAGAGATAGTAGGAACTGCAGATGCTGGAGAATCTGAGATTACAAGGTGTAGAGCTGGATGAACACAGCAGGCCAAGCAGCATCAGAGGAGCAGGAAAGCTGACGTTTCAGGCCTAGACCATTCAGCTTTCCTGCTCCTCTGATGCTGCTTGGCCTGCTGTGTTCATCC